AACAATCCAGTCCGCCTTTGTCTGGAAATGCCACACTGTAACGCACTTAACGCGAAGCCCCTCCTTACTATGCAAGTCAACAAGTGGCATTCCCCCAAGCCGAATGGCACTCGTTTGGGAATCCAGGCGCCTTGCCAAAGCCCCATATTCTATGAGCATGACCCTCTGTAGAGCTCCGTTTTGCTGCCGTTATGGAGCAGCTGCTCCGGGACCATTAGCCCCCACTTTAGTTTCACATCCCTCCTTGCTTGAATTGCTTACATCTTAACTTTTTCCCCCATCATATGTCACCAGAGAACATGTCAGCATGTGATGTATATAATAGTTGCTCAAATAAAAAGTGGCACTGATTAAAAATTAAATGGATGTGTGATTGGTAGTGCAGATTACAAGATCACTGAAGCATATCAGTTGCCACACTTGCCAAAAACAAGCACATACAAACACTTAATGTACACCAGCAAACAAATAAAACGTTTATGCAAATATAGCATGCAGATTTTAGCAGGTATTATTCTAATTTATTTTTTAATGATTTCCATGCAAAATCTACAAATCAAAGTCTTGCAGCTCTGGCTGTAAAAGAATGAAATAGAGCTGGTGCCGTTCTTGTCATTTTGACCCTCTTTGTTTTGATATGGCACCTCAGGCTGTATAACTTGATGACTGCAATTAGGTCATTATAAAATAAAAAAAAACTTGTATTTTGCAATTACGTGCAAGCAACGCACTCAGCCTAGTGTGCAATCACACGGAGTTCAGTGAATAAAATGAGCTTAATCTGAGCATTAACTAAATATCAAAAGACATATTTATAAAAACACGATCATTGCACTAGCAATGACTGTCGAAAACACACTAAAAGCACTAAGAAAGAGCCGGTTGCAGAGGAGAGATGGAGGCTGCTGTACGTGCGCGCACACAAATGCTTCTGTGGCGCGTGAATGCTGCAGAGCGTGTTTGTTTGCCACTGTTATCCACCCACTAAACTCAGATAATCAGCGGCTTACACAGACCTACATGGCTACAGACCTCGACGAAAACGGCCACAAATGAAACAAAACAAGTCTAATTTACGACAATAATTTTAATCTACTCGGTCGGGGAAACTTTGTTTGTCTATATGCGGTTTAGTCACATTTTATCACGCGATCACGATAGTTTAATTATATCAATTTAGTCAGTGTTTCCAGCACCGCTATTTTGCATCTTTCCGTCGCGTTGTGTTCGCTGAATGCAATGAACACCTCGCGA